GAGGGAAATGACTGATCTTAATGAGCAGCTCAGCTGGAGGGGCTCTAATGGCCTTGCTGAGAATCAGAGACTGTGGAACTGGCTTCAGGAGTCTGGGAGGCAGATGACCCCTGTTTGCTTATTCAAAGCATTGAATAGCATGTCCAAACTGGTGGGGTCTAAGGCAGACAGTACCCCAAGTCTCCCAGGTGGAGGGTGGGCTGCTGACCTGAAAGGAGCCAGTGTGTGGCAGGTGCAGAAGCTGGAGCTCTGAAGCCCTGTCAACAGGGCGGCTTCTTAGTTCAAGAACAGTTTCCTCACCTTAATTGGCTCTCTAGGGCCCTGGGAGTAGCATTGGCACCTCTGAATATCCCCGTTACTGGGAGAGCAATTCCCCCGGTGGTTGGGAAGAGGTAGGCTGTGTTTGGTGGGGATGTGCTTGCTGCACCAGGAAAACTATGGCTGGAGAGATTTGCAGAGGGAGGAAGTTCGAGGTAGCAGTGATTGACAGGCAGTTTTGGGGTGACTGCTCGTCACTGGATCTTTCATTGAATGGGGAACCAGTCGTGCCAAGTGTCACGGAGGACTGATAGCAGGAGAAGCCCTGGGAGTTCATCTCTACCTGTTAACTGCACGAACGCAGCGTTGAGAGTGCAGGAAGGACCTAGAAGCCTGCAGAGGGTCACATGGTCCGTTATTTGCAGAGCCACTCCCTTGCCTGCTAACGCTGGGCTTGTTTGGACTTGCAGGCTGCAGAAGCTACAGATCTATAGTTGGTGCTGCCTTGGCGTGCCTCGTCAAGCCCAGTCGTAAGTGGCTTTGCAGGTAGTGTTTCTGTATATCCTCCTTTGTGTCACCTCCTGAGCGTCTGTGTGAAAAGAGACCGGCACTATTGGGTCAGTGAACCCAGGCTACATCGTATCTATGGTGGGTATTTCCCTGGCACAGAAAGCTGGCATCACACTCAGGTGCTTCCTCAGGAAATGAGACTGTGAAGGCCAAGGGCCAGACACTCCACACATTCACTTCCAGCCTCAGCCAGCCCCTGGCTGTCAGACTCAGATTCCGGATCTTGCTTCTGATCAGCTGCTGGCCCTGCCTCCTAGTTCCTGGGTATCGTAGCTTACCTTATAATGATATTTATCCTGCCATTAGGGGTTATGTTTCCAAATCCTCTACTCCAAACCTAATCATTCCTTCTAACTCTAGGCCTACACTATGGGCTACCTAAAGGCTTGGCAGTGGTGGCACACACTTTTAATCCCAGCACTTGTGAGTTCGAGGCCAGGCTGGTCTACAGAGTAAGTTCCAGGATAGTCAGAGCTACGCAAAGAACCCTGTCACCAAAAAACAAAAACAAAAAACAACAACAACAAAAGGAAGTTGGGCCTAGTGACACAGGCCTATACTCTCAGCTACTCTTGGTACTGAGGGAATTCAAGACAAGTGAAACCCCATTGCAAAATGAAAAGTAAAAAGAGGGCCAGGTATATAGCCCAGGCAAAGGACTGTCTGGCATGAGGGCCCTCGGTTCAATACTCAGTACCACAAAAAGAAATAAAAAGAGAAAGAAAAGGGGTGGGGTGGGAGGGTGTGTGGAAGGAATGAGAGGAGGTGAGAGAGTGGGAACTTGGATTGGTATTTTTTTTAAATCTAATAAATTAAAGACACACACATCACACACACACACAGAAAGAGAGAGAGAGAGAGAGAGAGAGAGAGAGAGAGAGAGAGAGGAGAGAGGAGAGAGAGGAGGACTTGGGATTGACTGCCGTTCAGAGCAGAACTAGCTTGTCCCTCAGGGCTCTTCCTAGCTCCCCTGAATTAACCTTGTTGTTTCATGTCCTTTATACCCTACATGGCCTGGCGGCCCCACAGTTTTACACTTATGATGCTCTGTGTGTGACGTCCCCTCCTCCTTGTCAGTGACAGCTATGATGCTCTGTGTGTGATGCCCCCTCCCCTCATGAGTGACAGCTATGATGCTCTGTGTGTGACGCCCCCTCCTCCTCGTCAATGACAGCTATGATGCTCTGTGTGTGACGCCCCCTCCTCCTCGTCAGTGACAGCTCCCTCACATCTGAAGGCCCAGCACCTGTGTGAGCCATTTGCACACTGAGAGCTCACAGGTGGGGTGTGCTTAGCTCAAGCAGGGCTCCTAGTCAGAATTTTATCCCAGTATGGAGATGGAACGGTGTAAGGAGCTGCTGTTTTGAGCTAAGGACGAGCCTTTTGAATCTAAAAAGTGCCAGATAGTGTTTTGGTTTTGCCAGTCTTAAAGTTTCGGTCACAATTACTCAACTCTGCCACTGGAGGCCAAAATCAGCCATGACCAGTGTGGAAACCAATGGCCCTGACTGTGTTCTAAGAAAGCCTTCTTTCCTTCCTTCCTTTCTTCCTTCCTTCCTCCCTCCCTCCCTCCCTTCCTCCCTCCCTTCCTTCCTTCTTTCCTTCCTTCCTTCCTTCCACCTCCCCCACCCTTCTTTTTGAGACAGGGTTTCATGTAGCTCTGGCTGTCCTTAAACCTAGTAAGTAGCTGAGGATGGCTGAACTTCTGATTTTCCGCCTCCACCTTCAGAGTACTGAGGAACTGAACCCAGGGCCACTTGCTAGGTAAGCACTGATCTACAAGTCCCAGTCCGAGAAGCTGCTTTTTGACTGTATTCTTTATTGACAAAAACAGACAGGCTGTAGTTCTGATCTCTGTTTTAAGCTCTGGAAAAGTTGGTGGGTTTGAAACCATTGGTGCCATCAAGTAGAAAAGACTATTTGGGAGTCACCCAGGATAGAAAAATATGGATGAGACGGGTGGTGGTGCAGGCCATTAATCCCAGCACTCGGGAGGCAGAGGCAGGCAGATCTCTGTGGGTTTAAGGCCAGCCTGGTTTGCAGAGTGAGTTCCAGGACAACCAAGGCTGGTATATGGATGAAACTCCAGGTAGGAAATAATGTGAGAATGAGACCCATGGAGGAGCAGGCAGGTCAGCAAGACAGAAGGGAGCTAACCTTGTCTAGAATATACAGTGCTCACAGGGGATCCTGAGATGGGACTCCAGAAAGAAAGTTTCCTCAGGGGTCTTAGCAAACATTATTCCTGCAGAGTGGGAGCCATTGTGCTCAGTGAGTATGATCAGATCTATATTGTAAAGAGTCATTCTGAAGTGGGTGTGGTGTTGGTACAGTCCTTTAATTGCAATCCTCAGGAGGCAAAGGTCGGAGGGTCTCTGTGAGTCTGGGGCCAGCCTGGTCTATAGAGCAAGTTCTAGGGCAAGTAGGGCCACAGAGAGACCTTGTCTCAAAACAAACAGACAAACAAACAAACAGGCATTCTGGCAGGACGTGTTTGTTCTCATAGCCTTTAATCTTGGCACTTGGGAAGCAGGAACATCAGGAATTCAAGGTCAACCTCAGGCACAATTGTGAACTTCAGGTTAGCCTGGGCCACATGAGACCTTGTCTCAAAATACACACACACACACACACACACACACACACACACACATGCACACATGCCAGCGAGGGCTGATTTGATAGCATGCAGGATGATTGCAGGAAGATTACCCAGAGGTCACTGTGGTTATCTGGGCCATTGCTTCCAGACTGGATGTCTAGGAACGATTTGGAACCTTGCCGAAACTCCAGGCCCTGTATCTGAACCTAGGAGATTTGGGTTTGACAGACTGAGGATTCCTAGAAAGCTCTTCAAATTTGGAATTCGCTAGAACAGGAAGGGCAGGGTGCTGTCTGATTTAAGAGGTGTAGATGTCAGAAAACAGGATTTACAAAAGTGTTTGGAAGGGGCCCTCTCCCTCTTCCCATACCTGTCTTTGTTCAGAACAGCCCAACCTCTTGACTCCTCCTCCCCCACACCCATGTTGTGTTTTGGTGGTATACGTTCTCTTCAGAGCAACTCGTTTGACCCATTTTGACATGTCTGCCCCCTTTCAGGATCTTGTTAATGTTCAAGTGGATAAACTTTTTTTTTTTTTTTTTTTTTTGTGACTTCCCTTGCTCAGTCAGGCTCCTAGAGCCTTTCTGGGTGGCTTTTCCTCAAGGTTGGGATCTTTTGTTTAGCAGTCAAGGCCCTCCAGGAGCACCTGCTCCAGCTAGGCTCTCCTCACTGCCCACCTCTGATTGCTGTGTGGCTGTAATCATTCTGTAACTTGCAGTATTATCCTATCCTGAAGTCTTTCTCACAATTCACCCTCTTGCCTCCCCTCTTCTGTTTGTGTGTGACTGTGTTTCCCTGGGGAATAGAGAGAGCTGCCGAGGGACCTCTGCCCAGGACCTTTGTGCATCATAAAACAAGTGTCTGCTCCAGCTGAAGTCCTAATCCTCCGCTTGTGACGGACAGTTGGTCACTATGGCAACCGACTGTGACGTCACAGGATAAGGACTTCAGGTGAAGTAGCAGGAGCAGGTGAGTATCTAGGAGCTAGATTTTAGTGTCTGTTGGGGAGTCCCCACCCCCTGCACTTTCCTGCGGTGCAGGGGGCTCGGAGGGATCTCTCCGGCTCCTGCTGTTTTTGAAAATGATGCGGTGAGAGTGTGTGCTTGGCATCTGCGTGCTGCAGCAGTGTGGGGCTGACAGAGTGTGTCAACTTGAGCTCTGGCTGTGCAGGCACCGCTGCTGCGGGAGCCTGTTATTCCATTCCGGATTGCTATTTTGATACCCAGATTGCATCATTCTTCCTACGTATAAACAGGGGGTCCCCAGGGCCCTGCAGCTACTCACTTCTCCACCAGCACTGTTATTGTGATGAGCTCTATTTAAATGAGCTGCCGGATCGGGGGCAGGTTCCAGCCACACATGAGCACTGTCATTTTGGGGAACATGGAGGGCTGAAGGATTTCTGTGGATCGAGTCTTAAAAGCCTGAGAGTGATGGCCTCCCGAGCTGTGAGCTGTATAGAGGGCGACCGAGCTAGTTCCTGAAAGTTGAAAATCTCGTTTTCTTCCTTCTGAGCTTCTATTCAGAGGCACCCAGAGGATTAGGAAGGAGATGCAGCTGGGAAGAGAGTCGCCTCTTTGAGGTCTCCCTCTTGCTGTTCAGTTTGGGAAAATTGCTGCAGAGACTTGGAGATAAACAGGAACAGGAGGAGTCAACCTTGCTCTTTCTTGCAGGAGCATCTCAGGTGAGCCAGAGAAATGCAGCCCTGGCTGAGGACGCATCGCAACAGGGAGAGGCTCCAGGCTGCTCCCCCAAACCCCACCCAGAGCCCAGCTCTCCCAGGCTTAGGCCCTGTAGCCCAGCGGGCTTGCTGCATGCGGGGTGGGTGTTCCTGGGTTCCTAGGGAGCACCGTCCTCCAGGACTGGTGGTGGTCTCACCTGTCGCTCTTCCTCTGACTTCTCTCCCAGGTGTTGCTCTAATTACAAGGCAACAGGGTGACAGGTAAGCCTGCTGGCAGCCAGGGGCAAAATCGGCAGCCAATCTAGGTGTGTCTTGGATCAAAATCTGCCTTTCTAACTGGTGCTGACATCTGAAGAGTGGGTACAACCTGTTTCTTGAAGGCAGTGCTGCTCTGAGTCCCCGGGCAGTGCAAGGCTTCAAGGGCTTCACTGGGGCCTTATTCCGTGCTCAGCATCCTGAGGTTGCTAAGGGTGGGAGGGCGCTATCGGCTAGTGAGCCTGGCCAGCTGGGCTGAGCACCGGTGCTGGGTTTCCTTGCGTAGTGTCTGGCAGAGGCAGAGCAAAGAAGTGTGTCTCACCTGTGGCTACAGAGGCTGATCAAGGCGGCTCAGTGGTTTGAGGTTTTACAAGGACAATGTAGTTTTGAAGCATGTCTCTGTTTCTCATGAGGCCTTCCTCTCACCCTCCGTGGGATTGGGAATTGGGAACAGAGAAGGTCTATCCAGCTTTGGACCCTGGCAGAGGCACTTGAGGCTGCCTCCATGGATCCCACTGCTAGACAGAGAGATCTGGGCCGTTCCGTGGAGCCCTGGATGAGAGCTGAACGGCGAGACCTCCCAACCCATGACAATTGCTTAGCACTAGGCCCAGGCTGGGCTCAGGGTGGCCATGGTGGCTGGTGGACTGAGATGACCCATGCCTGATTTTTGGGACCTCCTTGGGACGTCTCTCCTGTTCTCATCATCTGAGGCCAAGGCTGCCTTGGTTGTGCTGTGCATGCTGAGAGGTAGTTCCCCAGGCCAGGCCTCCTTCCCTTTCCGGACTCAGAATGCACTCCAGCCTCAGAAGCAGGCCCCAGACCGCAACTTGGTCTTTCAGCTGAGTTGTGAGTCAGAGGAGGTAAAATGTAGCCTCCAACCAGGACTGACTTCTCTGTGTTGGGAGTCTGTCCATTTGTCTGTCAGAGGGGAAATCTACCACCACTGTATCCAGAGATTTCTGGACTTTCTGTCTGGCTCAGCTTCAGGACTCAGGGGCCAGAGCTCTCAGAGGAAGGAGGACTGTCCAGGGTGCTCGCTGTCAAAGCTGTGCTTTGGGGTCCCTTGAGCCACGTCCCTGTCCCATGTCAGGATGGTTAAAAGCCACCTTACAGGTCAGGTTTGTAGCAAAGAATGCGCTGTCTCCACATTTCTTTTCTTAGGCACAAAAGCTTCTTTCCATTCGCTTTCCTCAAACACTGTATTTCTTAAGAGAGCTCCAGGTTCCAGGCTGGGTATGGGCTATTAGTACAGCTGGATAATGACTGTGGTCTGATCATCATTATAAAATATTTTCATATGGCGAAACTGTCTAGCTAATTGCAATAAAAATATATCATGTATTTATTATTGAGTTAGGAAAGAATATAGCTTAATGGAAGGGACATGACATGTTTTACGTGTGTGCGCTGCACGTGAACACTGTGGCACATGCGTGGAGGTCAGAGAGAGGCCTTGCGTGTCAGCTCTCGCTTCCCAGCTTGTTTGAGTCAGGGTTTTATTACTGTCTGTGTCTGCGCTGCACAGTCCGGGTTGGCTTGTTGCCTTCTGGGGATGCTACCGGCCCACCTTCCGTCCACCTGCAGTTGTTCTGAGACCACATATGCAAACCAGCATAGTCAGCTTCCCATGAGTTCAGGGCGCTGAACCAGACCTCATGCCTGCACAGCGAGTGCTTTACTCAGCCATCTCCCTGGCCCAAGGACACGGTTTTCAGGGCAAACAGTCTTGGGTTTCAGTTTGCTATAATAGAATGTAGATAAGACCTATTAAGAATGCTATAACACATGCAGGGTGCCAGTACAGGGAGTAGTGGTAAGTAGATGCCAATTTGTATCACACAAGAAATTTATTTAGTTTTTGAAGCTGGCTATCCTGGAACTCTCTGTGTAGCCTACTGTGGTCTTAAACTTGAGATTCCCCTGCCTCAATCTCCTGAGTGCTGGAATTACAGACTTGCATTATGGCTCCATCTCTTAACAGGTGGAAGGAATGTGGCTCTCAGAACTGTTCTCCCAGGCCACCGGGCTCCACAGGGAGACCTCCGGTGCCATCCTCGTTCTGGAAACAGAAGACCCGCCTCCTTGGTGGTCTTTGCGTAATGGTCTTCTCAGTCTCAAGAACGATGTTTCTGCTTGTGAAAGGCAGTAAAATAGGTGGGCTTGCTGCTGCACCCCTGTAATCCTAGCACTTGGGAGGCAGGAGAATCGCTGTCACATTCAAGACCAGCCTGGTCTACATAGGTTGGGAGGCCAAGACTTCATCCATATCCTTCATGCAGTCTAGCTGGTGGAGTGTTTCCCTAGCATGCGTGACGCTCTGGATCTAATTGTCAACACTGCCTAAGGCAGGCAGGGTGTCGCACACGCACACCCGTAACTCCACCTCCCTAGGAGTTTAAGGTCATTCTTGGCTCCATTTTGAGTTTGAGGCCAGCTTGGGCTACAGGAGACCTTGTCTCAGAACAAGTCCCTCCCTCCAACATAAGCATTATCTGTCAATAACGTTTTACTTCCATTGTAACTGAAGTGTGTAGCTAGTGAGTCTTACGAGCAGGACAGCTGTTCTCTTGCTCTGCCCCTCAGCAGCCCCTGCCCAGGGCCGATCCTGCTCCAGCCGCCCCTCAGCCTCTGCCTGTCACTCTCTGGTGTTTGTTTTGTTTGTTTGACACGGTTTCTCACCGTGTAGCTCTGCCCCTCAGCAGCCCCTGCCCAGGGCCGATCCTGCTCCAGCCGCCCCTCAGCCTCTGCCTGTCACTCTCTGGTGTTTGTTTTGTTTGTTTGACACAGTTTCTCACCGTGTAGCTGAGGCTGGAATCACACTGGCAATCCTCTTGCCTTGGTCTCTCATGTGCTGGGACCACAGGTGTGTGCCGCCATGCCTGGCCCACCTGACTTCTGACAAGGAGGGTAGATAGCTCAGTTGCCATTTGACTGACTGTCCCTTCTTGTCCTGTCTCTGTTAGCACGTGAAAAGGACTGTGTAATCAGCACTCTCTTCTAGGTCTGGACCCCTCATTGTAACAACTTAGTGACCTTCAGGGATAGAGGGTGCTCACTCAGGGTGATAATCAGATAATAGCAGCAGAGCTTTGTTCATAGACGGCGTGATTGTCATCTCAGGAACACTTTCTCCCACTGCCCAGAAACTTACAGGTGACTTCTTCCAAGGGGCCATGAGTGCAAGGGTATACATGGAGCGTGCCAGCAAACGAAGTGCAATTGTCCCATCTACTAAAAGCCATGCACTGTCCTCTGATGCTAAGTGTGGATAATTTCTTATGTAGACCTATGAACAGGTAGTCAAGATGCCGTGTGGCGTTTCTTACACTGGAGGTACTGATTGACTGATCCCAGGGGAAATGAGCCCTGTTTCTCAAAAGTGGAACATCTGGACAGGTTTGAAAGAATGCGTAGGAGCTTATCTGAAAAGGACAGAGGCAAGGAAAAGTATTTCAAGGAGGAACAGTGTTTGGTCAGACAGAGCCATGCAAAAGTTTGGCTGATCCAGAGGCAGCAGAAATACTCGGCATGCCAAAGAACTATGGCATCTGGCAGATGAAACTAGAGATGAGGCTGGGGGGAGGTAAGGCCAAGCTGAAAATGAATGCTGAAACAAGAGTGTTGCCTTAAAGGCCAAGAGGCGGATGATGTGCCAAGAGGCCGTCTTTGAACCATCTAGTTCGTCTTCCTTTTCCACTCTGCTGTGCTGCTGGTTTTAAGGTTTGATCACTTGGTACCAGGAGCTGGGAGTCCTGTGGAGGTAACCTTCAACACTCAGATCGCTGTTCAGAAGGTGGAGAGTCACCTGACAGCCAAGAGTGTTGACCAGCAGGAAAACTACCCAGGGGATTCAGATGCAGTTCTGTCATTCCAATCCATGGCTCTGCAAGGCTGTTGTTTTATATGATTTTATGGGTTTTGCAGATGGTAAATGATGAATTTTTGCTGCACAATAGGCCACCCCAAAATGTAGTGGTTAAACCAACTTTCTTTCTTGTGTGGCTCTACAGGTTGGTGATCTGGACTGGAATTCTCCAGGTAGTCTGGGCTGAATTTGCCTGATCCTGGCTGAACTTCAGTGCCTGCATTAGACTGGTAGCTCACTTGGTCTGGCTATCTTAGGGTAGTCTTATGAGGAATGTTTAAGACAACTATGGTCTCTTTCCTCGAGGTCTGATGTCTTCCAGCAATCTGAGTCCCAGGTTCAACTTTTCAGAGTATCTCACTGGAGAATTCTAGGTGCAAGAGCAGAATCACACAGGCTCCTGAGGTCTGGTCATAGATTCAGTGGGTGGAGTTAGAGAATCATGGCCCCCGTGTGTGTGTTTGTGTGTGTGTGTGTCTGTGAACCCTATTATAGCACACACGTAGAGGTCAGAGGACAACTGGAAAGAACTGGTTCTTTCCTCCCACCTGTAGATTCAAGAGCTAGAGCTCAGGATCTCAGACACGATGGCAAGCACCTTTACCTGCTGAGTTACCTCACCAGCCTGTCTTTTTGTGACAGGCTTTTGCTGTGTAGCCCCCACTGCCTTTGAATTTGTGATGCCTTCTGCCCCACATTCCCGAGTGCTGGTGTTTATAGATGTGTCCCACCATGCCTATCTATCAAAGCAACTCTCATTTTCCCTTCCTATTTCACATGTAATGAAATAGGCATAGGTGAGTCAGTTGGGTTTGCATTCTTCTGAGTGCATTGCAGAGCAATTGACTCTGTAGCAGTCACTACAGCATGGACGGAACGAGGCAGAGAAGACTGTGACAATATTGCTACAGGCCCTGTTACTACCAGTTCCTTTTCACACCAGCCTCATCCGTGCACACAGGTACCTTGCCCTCCCCAAGAGACTCGTTCCCAGAGGTTCGACTGTTTTTAGAGTGGGTCTGAAGAGTCACTGTGGTCTCCAAGGTGACAATCTCCTGCTGCTTGTGTAATTCAGATGCCCACTATGCTAAGGAATGTTTGGAAACTGTTGCATTCTTCTGGGAAAGGGAGTGAATCAGGCTGCTCACAGGGGATGTTTATAGTGCACCTTACATGGTCTGTGACTCTGAGTAGAAACAGCCCAGCCACAGGCTCCTGAGCCCCAGAAACAGACTTATTGGTATTGGTTAAACCAATGAAAAGCACCTTTACGTGAGCAGGCAGGGGACGGGGCTGTTTTTTCTCTGGCTAGAGAACTGGAAGTTCCAGCTTTGGGATTTGGGTAACATGGGAACATTAATGACTGTGATGTCCTCTGGGTTACACTAACCCTCCAAAGTCACAGAACTGGGACCTCAGGGCTACAGAATGCAGAACTGGAGCAGCAGGAGGCAGAGGCTTGAGTCTGTAGTAACCCGGCTCCTAAGGAAGAGAGGAAGATTAGGCAAAGTCAAGGATGGGAGAGACCAAATGGATAGTCTGGAGGGCTGGCCTCTGGTGGGATGGTCATGTTCATGCTAACTGTGGGCTGTGTTATTGAATAGAGATCACGTCGGCACAGAGGAAATATTGCCCGTATGTTGGTGCTGGGTATGAGAAAACCCCCTTCTAGGCCGTATGAATAATCACTCTGTTGCTTGGCTCCACTGTCTGTCTTTCCCCTCCAGAGCTCATCTCCTGTCCTGGATGTCAACGAGTGTATCTTACCAGAGATGTAACTGAACATATTTTCCTTCAGTACTTTCCTCCTGGGCAACCCACAATGGCCAGGGTAAGTCAGGACAACGGAATAGGCAGGCGGTGGTTGACAGAAATTGATGAGACCCCCATCTATAGGTCTAGCTACCTATCACTGACTTGTGGTTCCATTGGTTTTCCCATCCACCCACCCACCCATCCACGTACCCATCCATCCATCCATCCATCCATCCATCCATCCATCCATCCATCCATCCATCCACCCGTCTGTCCGTCCGTCCGTCCGTCCGTCCATACACCCATTTTTTTTACCCATTCTTCCACTTACCCATCCACACATCCATCTACCCATCTACCCATTTATCTATCCATCCACGCATCCACCCATCCATCCACGCATCTATCCACGCATCCACCCATCCATCCACCCATCCACCCACTCATCCACACAGGAGGGAAATAAAACATGTTTGAATTAGGAGAAGTGACATAGTTTTCTACTAGGTGAAATTTATATACTTTGAGTGGAAAGTGAAGGTATCTTAAGATATATTAAACACTACTTAATTTATTTCAGTGTTTTTTTTTCTCATGACTCTTACAGATAATAACAGTAGTAGGCTTTTCTTTCCCTTTAGCTTCCCCCTGAGTTGAGATTTCTCAACATCAGCTTAGATTGAACGAGCGTTTTCACCCTGTGTAACAGCTCTGTGCTGTTTCCCATTCCTCACCGACTGGAACACCTCCTGTTTCTCTACAGACACAGCCTTATCACTGCTTTTCATTTTCCTACTGGTTTATTTACTTTTTCCTGTATCAATTCTTACAGAATGTTTGTAGCTCTCTGGGAGTTAACATGTATTCTGCTTCTAAGACAGCCATAGGGAAGTTGGTGAAGCCTTCTCTACCCACAGCAGTTTAGTGGATTGCCTGAGTTAAGGATGGACTAGGTAACGTTTTCCCACATCTCTGCACTTCATGATGGCTCCCATCAGATGTAGCACTGTATCTGCCCATGAAATGACTGTGGCATGAATTCTAATTGGTCTGAATTAGTAAAAAGCTGGAGTCAGATGTTAGGGGGTGAAAGCTGAAAGGTCAGAGAAGCAGAGCAGCGGCCACTAGTTCTTACCTCTACAAAATCCTCAGACCAAATGGGGTATCCTGTCTCCCCAAGTCCCCAGACTAAATCCTGAGCTCTTCTCTCCTCCTGCTTATATTTCTCTCTCCGCCCAACCATATTCCTTTCTATCTCTACCTCCCTAGTACTGGGATTAAAGGTGTGAACCACCATCGCCTGGCTATGTTTCTCTTTTAGACTGGCTCAATCTAATCAAAATCAAGCCCAGGGTGGCCTTGAACTCACAGAGATTTGTCTGCCTCTGTCTCCCAGAGTGCTGGGATTAAAGGTTTGCACCACCACTGTCCGGCCTCTGTGGCTGACTACTGTGGCTAGCTCCACCCTCTTATCTCCAGGCAGCTTTATTTGTTTCAGCACAAACAAAACATCACCACAAATGAGCAAACTTTTGGAGGTGAGGAGGGGATCTTAGGCCGGGCAGACTGCAGGTGGAGCACAGCTCTGAAGCGGGCCTTCATGTGCTTTCTCAGCTGGGTGGACTCATCTCCCTGGATACCCTGACATCTTAGACTTTCTCTCCTTTGAAGACATTGGACACTCAGCTTTTGCATGAGATTTTCCTCTGTTGTAACTTCCCCTTCATCTACCTACCTGCCATTCAGCATTCAACTTAGATGTGTCCTACTGATGAAAGGTTCCCTGCCACCCTTAGGCCTAGTTCTTAGGAACCTCCTTTTGCATGTGTCCATAGCACTTGCCATGTATTTTTTATCGCAGCATTATCAATTTAAAGGGTGTCACCCTGCCTGAGCTGTGTATGCCTTGATGAGGGGGGGCAGCCTTGGCTTACTGGGTTTCCTTAACTTTAGTGGAAGATAGCCACCGTTCCTTCTGTCACAGACGGTGTTTTCCTGCGCACGCCCTGCCAGGCAGCCCTCCACTCGACAGTACTCCTCGGTTCTGGGAAACATTCCACCAGGACCCCAGTCCGGAGGGCATTTGCTGATTGCAGCTGTAAACCCCAGCAACTACAGGGTCACCAATGCTGGGCTCTCTGCTTCCAGAACTGCTCTGAATGCAAGGAGAAGAGGGCGGCGCATATCCTCTGCACCTACTGCAACCGCTGGCTGTGCAGCTCCTGCACAGAGGAACACCGGCATGTCCCAGCCCCAGGGGGCCCACTCTTTGCACGGGCACAGAAGGGATCCTCAGGTACAGCCCCCCATGTTTCTTCTGTGCTGAACCCACAAGTGCCTGGAGAATAGTATTCTGACCTTGTTTCTCAGCCAAGAGAGGCAGTAGGGATGGTTTCCGAGTCTTTTGCAAAGGAAGGATATCTCCCTTAGAGTCAGAGGGGTGACTCACTCTAGCCCTCACTGTTGGGCTGGGGGCGGGAGAGTGTGGGTGAGCTGGCGCTGGGAGCATGATCTTGAGTCATGGAAGCAAGCTGAGCTCCCACCTCCCACTCCTATTTAGAGCCATATGCCTTGCATCGGAGATTTAACAGTCGGGTCCACTCTTGCCCTTTTGTCTGTCCTGCACCATCTGTTTTAGTCAACAGTCTTTTGGAAAGTCTTCTGAGGCCCTTGACTTGTGTGTGTGTGTGTGTGTGTGTGTGTGTATGTGTGATATGTGTCCAGCCCACTGGAAGCAGACAGAGTTCACCACATGAACTAGTCTGAAGCCCAGCAAAGCTGAGTAGCTGGTGTTAGCCACACCGACACAGAATCCTGGTTAGTGAAGAGGCTTAGGTTCATTTAGGAGGGTTTCCCACTGTGCCAGAGATCTGCCTGGAGCAGGAGCAAGTGCCTTCTCCACCCCTGGCAGGGGGTGGGACACTAGGGCGTGAGAGTGTGAAGTTTCTGGACAGCTGAGCAACTCAGGCTAAGCTTGAATTCTTCCCTTTGCCTGAGTCTCAGGGTTCCCAAGAGAGACCTCTCTTGCTCGCATCTCCTGCCCCATGCTCCGTGTCTGTGCTGCGTCTCTGGAGGGCTGAGGGCTGCTCAGCAAAGCTCAGCAGAAAGGTCTGCGTGAGCAGAAGCCCACTTCTTCTGTCTTCTCTGGCAGGGGTGAATGGTGGCTCTGGGGACTTCGCCTTGTACTGCCCTCTGCACACACAGGAAGTGCTGAAGCTCTTCTGTGAGACATGTGATGTGCTTACGTGCCACAGCTGCCTGATGATAGAGCACAAAGAGCACAGGTAGGGCGGGTGGACTATCCGGGAGTGGGGGGCTGGGAGGCTCGCTCTGGCCGCTGATGCTGAGGCGTCACCCTCTCTCCAAGGCAGGGTATGGTGACATTCATTTGTAATCCCAACACTTGGGAGGCTGAGGGAGGATGGTGGTGAGTTTAGATGACATCCAAGGCTACATAGTGATGTGGAAAACACCTTGCTTACATAGTGAAACTGTCTCAAAACAACAACAACAACAACAACAACAACAACACCTCTCCTTGCCCAAGTCAACCTGCAGCAGCTGGGCCAAGGTGTTCCTCTTCTCTTGAGATGACTCTACAAACCTCCTGATGGACTAAGAGACTTGAGTGCTTTTGTCTCTGGCAGTGTGTAATCCTGGCCTCCAAGGCTGAGACAATGCACCATGGGATTTCCTGGGTGCTGGCTGTTCAGGGGAGGAGCCATCACTCCTCAGCTCCTGTTTTGTCTCCTCCCTTAGATGCAGACATGTTGAAGAAGTTCTACAAAACCAGAGGATGCTTCTGGAAAGCGTGACCACGCAGGTGGCACATAAGAAATCCAGCCTGCAGACATCTGCGAAGCAAATCGAGGACAGGTAGCCTAGGCCAGATCTGGCTAGTGCCGAAAATGCTCTGCTCTCTCACCTCCTGGGCTCGGGTACCAGTGTCCAGACGGTCCATGGAGGCGGATGTGGTTAGGCAGATTAGCGTACATGTCCATTCCTTAGAGGTCTCAGTGCCAGTGAGCTGTCTTTGGGATATCACTTGATGACTAGGGCCAGCTAGTTCAGGGCAATCAGAGAGAGTCTGGACCTAGGTTCTCTGCTTTATGAGTCAGCTGGAAACGGGTACCCAAGAACAAGGGTACATAGTAAGTAGCTTTTGGAGAAGGAAGCACTGTTTATTGTGGGACAGCAACAGTTAATCATAATCTGCCCCTTCTTGTTATCTATATAAATAAGTTAAATGGCATGGCATTACTGGAGTTTTGTATAGCAAGAGTTAGGAATTGGGTTTGAAACATGCATTATTTTGTTCAGTTATTATAATTCTTTCAGCAAGGCTTATCTTCATTTTACTGCTGAGGAGGCAGAGGTTCATAGAGGTTGTCATCTGAGCTAACATGGCTAATCAACTTGGAAGCTAGGGCTGCGGTAACTTCAAAGACCATAACCTTTCTCTTAAATATTTTTAATGAGATATAATAAACTAAGGCCTTTAAAATGTGTAATGCATGGGTTTTTGGCATTTCCCAGAACTGTGCAGTTGAACGTTCCATCACCATAACAGAAACCTTTATGTTACTGGTCACATCCCTCCACTTCCCACTCTGCCCAGTCGTCAGAAGCCACTAGTCCCTGCACCCACGCATCTTCCTTTTGGACAATATGAAATCATATTTATATATCCCACAGTACTGTGCCACCTGGTGAGCTACTGGGTGGACCCGAGGTTTCCTAGAGGAAGCCCAGTTCAACCAAGGGGGAGGGATAGTGAACGGGGCTGAGAAAGGTCCTTTTTCTTTGATGCCCGCTTGGCTCTGATCTCAAGGCAGCTTCCAAGTTGCCAGCTTTTCTGTTTGCTGTCTTTCAGTAAGCAGAGAGGAATCACTGTTTGTCCCATCATGTTTCCAGGATTTTTGAAGTGAAGCATCAGCATAGGAAGGTGGAAAACCAGATCAAAATGGCCAAGATGGTCCTGATAAATGAGCTGAACAAACAGGCCAATGGGCTCATAGAGGAACTTGAGGTTTGTATATGCAGACGGGCCCAAGGGTGCATCCTGCGTTCTCCTGGGTCAGAAGCCAGGGCTAGGATTCAGATGCGTAGTCATCGTGGCATCTTGTTGCATGCTGTATTTAAAATTTCTAGTCTAATTTTGGGAGAGTGGCTTGATAAGGGGCTGGGAAACAGTTCAGCCTCTCCCTGATGCCATCCGTGCCTCTCAGGTAGCTGCCACCCTTAACTACACCAGGGAGGTCTTAAGACAGAGTCTAATTGTGCCTTCCTGGAAGGCTGAGTGCAAGAGGGGTAGACATTCACTCATTCATGTTTTCCCATTTGCCACCATTCCACCTTCGTGCTGTGGAATCTCTCACTATCTCTTCTCCCTTTCTCCACCCACCAGTAAACAGCTCAGGCTATTTTCAGTTCTCTTATCAGATGCCATCGGGGGCCACCAGACTTCCCAAACATGGACTTCAGCAGTTTCTCTCTTTTCTCTGTGCATCAGGGCATCACTAACGAGAGAAAACGGAAGCTGGAGCAGCAGCTACAGAGCATCATGGTTCTCAACCGGCAGTTTGAGCATGTGCAGAATTTCATCAACTGGGCCGTCTGCAGCAAGACCAGTGTCCCTTTCCTTTTCAGCAAAGAACTGGTAAGAGGAAGCCTGTCCCTTCAGCTAGTCTGAAAACAGACCCCAACAGAGCCTGTATCGCAAGGGGCGGGGCTATCCTTGGAAGTGCACGATTTTAGAAGGAAAGAGGAGTAAGACAGCAGGTACTGAGTTCTTCAGACCCAGCCATGGCTTTGGGTTAGTAAGCGAATGTCATTTTCTACCAGGTCCTATAGCACAAGGGACCCAGCTGCAGAAACGATCTTGCTAACCCAGCCAGGAAGGCCTGTGGTTCTCACGGACTCACACATTGTCCTGGGTATTCAGAGATCTCACAGAAAGCTAATACTAGACTCCAAGTAGGAGAGCAAGAAAAGCAGGGATTGGAGAAGATTTTGAAGTCTTGAGCTTGTGATGCCTAGGCGAAGGAAGTATTGGTTTTGGTTTTTGATAGGGTCTTGCTAGGTAGCTCCTGCAGGCCTCAAACTTGAGATCCTCCTGTTTCTTTCCCCTGAGTGCAACACTCCAGGCTGGAGGAGAATGGGCTTTAAGAGATAGTTGTATTGACTCTAAGGAGCCTGGAGTGCATCTGAAAAGAGGTGGCCAAAAAGCTGGTTTCATAGATGGGTCTGGACTTCAGAAGAGTCAGGGCTGGAGATTAAGAGGCAGCATTACTGGGACAGTCACCATGGCAGCATCGTGGAGAAGCAGAGAACACATCTGAAACCAGGGAATGCCGTTATTTCTGCAGAGGGGCAGACAGTGAGGATCGAGAAGCACAGCTAGAGTGTAGAGGAGAGGCAGGGACGTAGAGTGCACAGATGTCGACGGAGCTCAAATTGAGGACTGTGCTGACCATCCTACAGAGGCGAGACAGGAGGGACACGCCCAGTTGCCTTGAAAGCCGACAGTGCTGAGTTCTCTGGTGACTGTGTAAGGAAGTTCCAGCAAAGCAGGGAGGTAGAAGTCAGGCGCGCGGAGGTGAGGCTAGAGACAGACGAAGTTCCAGCAAAGCAGGGAGGTAGAAGTCAGGCGCGCGGAGGTGAGGCTAGAGATAGAGGCGAGAAGGGAGCAGGAACTGGGAAGGAGGCAGAGCTGGGGGAACTTTTTAAGTCTGGCAAACATTTGCACCTTCTCTATGGGAGAGAGGATGGCAGTAAGACAGAGAGGGGTGGGTGGAGTGAGCACCCTGGGGAGGAGTGAGAGCCAGAGGGTGCCTGTTGGTCTCGGAGAAGGGCGAAGGGAATCTGTGTTCGAAGAGTTTGGACTTTTGTCATTTCTATGATACGATCCAGGCTGGCTTCACTTACTATGTAGCCCAGGATGACTTGTGTCCCCTGAATGCTGATATTACAGGCACACACTATTATGCTGGGCTTATGCAGTGCTGGGAGTTGGACCTAGGGCTTCCTGTGTACTAGGCAGACACTACTAACCGAGCTACATCCTCAGCTCCTGGAGCATTTGCCATTTGTGATCTCTTTTATCCTCTGCAAAGTAGTAAATAAGAAGAGGGTTAGCGATTGGGTGCAATGGCAGGGTGAATGACCAAGCAGTGGAAGAGGACCGTGACGAAGGAAAGTAAGGAGGCTGAGGGAACTTCTAAGTGTGCCCTTGAAAATAGCGGTTACTTTCATGGCCTTAGATAGCGCAGCTGAGTAACGAGGCTTTAGCATAGCTGGATTGACCTGAAGTTGGGAATTGGTGGTCGGTAGAAACTTAGGGCCCTAGTGACATGGGACCTGAAGATGATGGGAAGCTGGGGAGACTGAACGGCTAGAAGGGCACTCAGAGTGCAGCGAGATAGGAGAGCATGTCCCAGGGGGTGGGATCACCTTATAATCAGGAAGGAGGTTGTTGTTTATGGCCTCACAGGTAGATGACTAATGAGGTATAGGTGTAGTGACTGAGCTGAAAACAGGTGGGAGTTGATTGACATTGAAGAAATAAGAATGATATAAGTTACATTATATGGACTCAACAGATTATATCTGAGAATCAGTATGTATACACAAATGCTACATATATGCACGTAATAACAACGAAAAAGAAGCCATGAATTTGAAGAAGAGCAGGGATGGGTATATGGGAGGACTTGGAGGGAGGAAAGGGAAGGGAGAAATTTTTTAATTAAAATATAATCTAAAAAACAAAAGGAATCAGGAATGGGAACTGGGGATGTAGCTCACTTGTAGAGTTTGCCTAGCATGGACAAAGCCCTGGCTTTGATTCCAAGTAGTCTGTAAACCAGGTATGCTGGTGCATGCAGGGATGAGAAGAAGTGCAGGTCATCCTTGAATATGCAATAGATTTGAAGAAGGCCTGGAATACGTGAGATCCTGTCCCCAAAACAAAACAAACTAAAACACAAAACAAAACAAAGACTTAAGAGGCCAAGGTGTCCACTGGGCCACTAGTTATCTAGGGCCAGATGATGGCAGGGTGTGATGGATACTTGGCAAAGCCCCAGGCAATGGGAGAGCCGTGAGCGGCCGCAGATGAGAGCCATGGCCGAGGAGGATGGCAAGTGGGTGCTACAGAAGGAGCAGAGCAACGGCCAGCTCTGAGAAGGTCGTCCCAGAGTTTGAAGGGGGTACTGGTGGGGTGACTGGGCTGCCAGGCAGTTAGAAGTCATCTGAGGTCTGGAAGAGATACGGATGCAGGGTTCCAGAGTCCAGGGAAGAGGAAGATCATTGGCTGGGAAGATTAAAGGGGGACAGGGAACTGAGACTACAGAGGATGACCAGAGGCCAGAGGAACACAACTTGGGGCCCTTTAACCTGTCCAAAGCCCTAGAAAGCGGGACTTGCCACACAGGCAGATGCCCAAAGCCCTAGAAAGTGGGACTTGCCACACAGGCAGATGTCCAAAGCCCTAGAAAGTGGGACTTGCCACACAGGCAGATGCCCAAAGCCCTAGAAAGCGGGACTTGCCACACAGGCAGATGCCCAAAGCCCTAGAAAGCGGGACTTGCCACACAGGCAGATGCCCAAAGCCCTAGAAAGCGGGACTTGCCACACAGGCAGATGTCCAGAGCCCTAGAAAGCGGGACTTGCCACACAGGCAGATGCCCAGATAAATGGTGCTGTCGTCAGATTGTGTTCCAGATGCAGCGGCTGCTGGAGACGAGCTGTAACACAGATCCCGGTTCTCCCTGGAGTATCAGATTCACCTGGGAGCCCAACTTCTGGACCAAGCAGCTGGCTTCCCTTGGTGAGCTGTGACCTTTAGCCTGTCAGCTAAGAATAAGTGCAGGCAATCTGCTGTGTTTCCTAGGTGGCTCTCCATGTGCCCAGGAGGAAGTGCTCTCGAGACTGCCAGGGATCATGGAGTCAGTCATCAAATCTTTCCTTGAGTAGAAGTGGGGAGGATGGGTTAATAACGGCAGTGTGGGACTCTATCGCTACCTGAAACACTAGCTTCCTCTTCTGCATGAATGTTGCTCCTTTTACCTCAGCTTCATTGCTGGAGAGGTGACAAGACGGTGACCCTCTCCTGAATGCTGTATGGCAGTCCAGGTGAACATGTCCGTGAGGTGACACAGGGCATATGTGTGAGGGTACAAGCTACACACTCCTCCTTTGGGCTGAGTGCAAACAGATTAATGGCCTTGTGTATTTTTTCTTCCTCTGCTGGAATTTCTGTCAGTCAGTCTCCACGTAGTGTAGACATGAAGATATGTTTGTGATGACTACATAATAGTTATTGAAACTAACTACCAACTGCCGCTCTGATTCTAAGATGCTAATCTCATTGAAAATTTTTTGAACTTGGCAAATCAATGATACTAGATATGTTTTTGTTCTTTTATTTGGACAGGTCTCATGTAGCTTAGGTTTATTCACTAAATAGCAGAGGGTGGCCTTGAACTTCTAGCTCTCTCGCTCTCGATTCTACCTCCCCTTTGAGTGCTGGGGTTTCAGGTGTGTAGCACTATACCTAGTTTCTGGTTTTGGGGAACCTAGGCCAGCAGGCTACCAAGTGGCTGTATCCCCAGTTCCAGATTTAGTTTTCCCTACCCCCTCCTGTTTTATTTAACTCAGCAGTTGCCCCTGGTGAGGCCCGGTGCTGAGCACGACAGGACCACAGGTGAATCAGACACATCCTCTGTCTTCGAGGAGCTCAGTCTCCTAAGCCAGCTTCATAGAACACTGGGTGAAGGGGCAGTAGACAGAGAACACTCGCAATGATGCCACCACAGCAACCCAGCGACAGTGCTGGTGACTGGCACCAACCTGGCATGGGATCTCCCATCGTAGTGCCCAGCAGTTTCCCAGCTCTGCACCTGGACGCTCACTGTGTACCCTTTGTTGTTTTCCAGACAATCCCTCCCCAACCCCAGTGCATTCTTTCAGCAAGTCCATCGAGCTGTTAGACTGAAAGGAGTGTGAAGAGCTTGTAGGTTTCCCAGTCGGGTAGAAAGGCTGGTCATTTAGTAAAAGCTGACCCAGTTCCTCAAATACCCGCGGTCCCCTGGAGCGAGCTTCTGCAGGCCTTGTTCCTGGCAGCACTCTAGACAGAGTCTTGGAGGTCTGGGGTGGAAGTTCATCTCTGTGGCTGACTGGGCTTGCGGAATGCTGGTCTTTGGTTCTGGGAGCAGAGAGTAGCAAAGGGGGCAGCTGTGTCTTACCTTTGGGATCTCTCTGTTCTCCATCTCCAGGCTGCATAACCACTGAGGGCGGGCAGCTGTCCCGGGCAGATGCTGTAGCCACTTATGGGAGCTTACAGGGGTCATCCTCCTTGTATCAGGGCCACCAGGCCCCCATGGCTCAGCAGGACTCTCTCAGCCACCCCGCACACAAGTTCCAGCCTCCAGCACTGTGCTCCTCGTCTGTCTGCTGCTCCCACTGCTCCCCAGTCTCACCTTCCCTCAAAGGCCAGGTCGCCCCACCCAGTATCCACCCAGCTCACAGTTTCCGGCAGCCCTCTGAAATGGTGCCCCACCAGCTGGGGGCGCTGCAGTGTTCCACCCTGCTGCCCAGGGAGAAAGAGCTGGCCTGCAGTCCCCATCCACCAAAGCTGCTGCAGCCCTGGTTAGAACCACCGCCTCCCGCAGACCAGGAGAGTACATCCCAGCGGCCAGGACAGCAGCTGATTTCCCAGCCTGTGTGCATCGTCCCTCCGCAAGACGTTCAGTCGGGAGCTCACGCCCAGCCCGCCATACAGACACCCTCCATCCAAGTTCAGCTGGGCCACCACCAGAAGCTGAAGCTCGGCCACTTTCAGCAGCAGCCACAGCAGCAGCCACCGCCCCCACCTCCACCTCCTCCACCCACCCAGCATGCACCACCACCCTTGCCTCCATCCCAGCACCTGGCTTCCAGTCAACACGAGAGCCCTCCTGGGCCTGCCTGTTCTCAGAACGTGGACATCATGCATCACAAGTTTGAGCTGGAGGAGATGCAGAAGGACTTGGAACTCCTCCTGCAGGCTCAACAGCCCAGCCTGCAGCTGAGTCAGACCAAGTCTCCTCAGCATCTACAGCAAACCATCGTGGGGCAGATCAACTACATTGTCAGGCAGCCAGCACCTGTCCAGTCCCAGAGCCAGGAGGATTCCCTGCAGGTGAGCCATCATCCCAGGACTTCTCAGGGCATACAGCATCTGGTTCCTTCATCTAAGTGGGTCTACAGCTAAGCCCTCACATTAGCTCTGCGCTCAGCAGCTGTGGAGGATATAGTACGTGGTCTATAGAGATCTGGGCTCAGGGGTCTCTAGAGTGGCCTGACTTAGCCCTATTCCCTGGGGTGACATTGGGGATTTTGTTCATAGATTGTATCTTTGAAAACATAAAGGTACTGGGGGAAGAGAGGACAGGAAAGGACAGGAGAGAGAGAGAGAGAGAGAGAGAGAGAGAGAGAGAGAGAGAGAGAGAGAGAGAGAGAGAGAGAGGAGAGAGAGTCAGTCTACGGAGAAGCTAGGGGTTGATGTTGGGCATCTTCCTCTGTTGCTGTCCAACTTTTTTTTTTTTTTTTTTTTTTTTTTTTTTTTTTGAAACAGAGTCTCTAACTGAACTAGGAGTTTGCCAGTTTGGCTCAGCTGGCCGTTCAGCAAGCCCCAGGGATCCACCCATCTCCACATTCCAAGCACTGGGGTTATAGGCACGCACTGATACTCTTGGGTTTTTTATGTGGGTTCTGGAGGATTGAGCTCAGGTTCTCATGTACTCATGGAGAGCAGCATGTACTCAAGCCCAGGAGATGGTGCCATCAGAGTGTTGCGAGACCCCTTCCAGTGTCAGGATAAGGGGGCAGTCGCTCCTATCTGTGAACCCTTTCAAGCTGGGAGCTTAGGCATACCTCGTAGGGATGCCTACTAGGAGAGAGAGCTCTAGGAGTAGAATGAGGGTGGCAGTAGACCTCGGTTGCTGGCACTTTTACAACACTCCAAGGAATATTTTGACTTTATGTCTGTAAAGCTAGATATGTTTTATGCACACATATGGAATACCATACCAACAGATGGTACCATCTGTAGTGTGTAGGTGCGGTAGGGTTGGTGAGTGCAAGCAGTTTGCTTCGAGACTATACAGAGTGTTGAGAGGAGGAGCTAAGACTGGGGCCCAGGTCTGCTGATTTGTCTATAATGCCACGGAAGAGGCTCTGATCTCTGTTTAGGGAATGCTGGAGAATTGAATGCGGATCCTCTATTTTCTCAAGATGACTAAGTGAGTGCATTTGTGTCTTTGGGATCTTTGCTGTTTCACGTCTTAATTCATACTTCCTAATTTTTTCTAGATCTTTTTTTCTAGATCTCTTGTTCCAGCCTATGTCCCCATTCCTTCTCACATTTTCCACGGCAGTGTCTCCTTTAAATCTATGGTTACACATCTCCAGAGAGGCAAACATAAGGCTTCACATTAATGCTTCATCAGGAATGACTTTAGATAATGCTTCAGGTGTCATCTCCGGAGGCTCAGTTCCTTTGAAGAGATGTAAAATATTCCCTGTGCTGGCAGAGCAGAATCCAGGGTTCATAGAGGACCACAGCTAAATATTAGCTCAGATGTTGCAGATTTGTGAGTGTCTCTCGGTGATAGGTTAAGTGCTTGCTACCAGGCACAAGACCTTGGGTTTGATTCCTAGCACCACAACCATAATAGTAATGAAATAAACCCAGATCAAAGCCAAACTAACCAGTCAGCTATCCAACTAGTCAGCCAACCAGCCAAACAAACACAACATGTTAACATTGTTAAAGTGAACATCACAGAGTTAGCTCAGAATTCATGGTTTGGGTTCTATTCTAAGACTATGGTATTAGGATACAGTTTCAGGAAGAGATTAGATAAGGTGTGTGTGTGTGTGTGGTGTGTGTGTGTGGTGTGCATTGTATGCACACGTCTGTGTGGGTATATGGATATGTGGATGTCTGGGGTTGTGTAGATGACGGTGCACAGGCATTTGTGTGCCTGTGTTCGTAGAGACCAGAGGTTGAAATTGGCTATCTTCCTTGATAACTCTGCTTTAAATTTTAAGGCAGGATTTCTCATTAGACTAAGAACTCACAGGTTGGCTAGGCTGGCTGGCCAATGAGCCTTTCTCTGCCCACTACCTCATCTCTGGGGTTTAGACGGTGGGTGGTTCATCCCCACGTTCTAGGTGGGTGCCAGGACTCTGAATTCAGGTCTCCGCCGGGCACTTCATTGACTGTGCCATTTCCCCAACCCAGATTATTTTTCTTTTTGAGAAAATTTAATTCATTCATGGTATGCAGACAGTGACAGGGCAGAGCTCAGTGGGCCTTAGCCCTGCTGCTATTCTCTGCAAGAAACCCATCCAAGGTCATATTCCTTTTCTAGGTTACAGAGGAGCCACCAGCACCTGAAGGCCCAAAGCCAGCTCTACCCCTCGACAAGAACACTGCTGCGGCCTTGCCTCAGACATCCGGGGAAGAAACTCCTCACAGTGTCCCCCCAGTGGACAGCGCCTCCCAGCACTCCTCTCCAAATGTGGTGAGAAAGGTACTAACACAGCCTAGTGCGGGGCAGCAGGCACCTGGAGGAGGGTGATGGATGGGGTGCGGGAGGTGTATCCCCGCTCTGTCCCTGGATACTAGCCAACCCACTACTGAGTGAGCACTCCCGCATGGGCCTGCTGGGCTTCATTTGGAGGGGAAGGAAGGGTCAGTTTGTTCTGTGCTCAGAACGGTGTGTGCTACCTGATGACCGTGATCTAACGTCACCTTCCAAATGTCTGTCTGAGGTGGGCATCACCACCAAATAGTGAAGGAAAATGAAGATTAGGGCCTTACGGCTGCAGGAAGAGCTGAGCTTTACTTAAGAACCCAGTACACAGCCATTATCCTTTCTCAGTGGAAACTGGGGAAGATATTGGACGTGGCTCTCCACTACCCAAAGTTATTGGCTTTAGAATTAGATCAGTAGATTTGGCTGGGTACGTGGTCTGCAGCAGGGATGTCCTTGTAGAGGCAGTTGGACACCTATGGATATGGAGATCCTTGGAAGATGGGCTATCAGGGGCCTCTCGTAGCATCCATTCATCTTGGCAGTAACTCAGCCCCACACTCCTGAGCTGTCTGTCTCCCGTGTTCTTTTCCTCTTCACTCTGTCTTCCTTCTAGCTGGACTGTCAGCACTGGGCCACGTCCTCCACCCTAGCCGGTGTCCCAGGGCCCTTTCCTTTAATTGCCTGCCTGGGCCCAGTGTCTCAGTCTTCCTGGTCCTCTAAAGCCCTGGCTCTAAAGCCCTAGTCTTGAAGTCTACAACTCCAAGCTTGCACACCAGCGCCTTGGTATCCCTGTGGCTTGCAGCCTAGTTCTGCTCGCTGCTCCCTGTACAGCCCCTCGTTTCCCCAGCAGGGCCATCTTAGATCAGGCAGCCTCACTGTACTGAAGACAAGTTGAGGAAAAGCAAGCAGTGGCAGAAACAAAACACTGGCTGAAAGCTTCTGACTTTCAGAGTCCTGGAAGGCCTCTGATGCTAGCAGCCTTTTGTCTGTGCCTGTCCTGTTCTGTCCTATCTACCCTGTTGAAAATGGTTTGGTTTACAGGTGCCATAAATAGGCCCTTTGTAGCTCTTAATTGTTTAACTGCTTATATATGGGCCATCTAATCCATCCATTTATTTATTCATTCAAAGTTAACAAACCTTATACACATTCATACAGATGCACACATGTGTCCTAGAATTTCAAATATTATAGGTGCTCAGCACATACTGGCGTGTGAGGTGGTGTCTGGTGAGAGAGAAACAGACACCGTAGTAAGTTACGCTGGAACAGTACAGTCACCATTGAAGTGCCTCCTCTTGGAGCACTTCCTTCTGGGAGAGGAGGCTGCTCACGGGACACCTCCTGGAAGCCTGTTTTACACTGAGGTGTAAAGAATCTGGGCCAGTAGAGGGGGAAAGGAGATAGTGGACAGGAATCTTGGAAGGCAATCTTGGAAGGTCAAAGTTGAGAGAAAGCCTGGGCCTTTCTTAGGGGGTTCAGCTGACTTGGCTTGACAGGAGCAGGGGTGCACTGGGAATGGAGTGATGGCAAGGCCTTGCCTATTATACTTGAATTGGGATTCACTACTGGGGCTGGGGTGGTTGGCCGAAGGATTTTCAGCTAGGAGGGATATGACTTGAATTAAATGTAAAAGGTCAGTAGTAAGAGAGACCAGAATAATACCGAGGAGAGAAGCTGAATGAATTAAGTAGCCATGGAAGGAAGAGGAAGCCAGGATTTCAAGGGCCATCAGAGGACAAGAGCTTTGAATTCAGCGTCTGGTTGATGACAGGAAATGAGACAGAGAAAGTCCTTTGCCTCAAAATCAGGGTCTGTCTTGGTCTGGGAATGGAAATACGTATCTAAAGAACGTGCTGGAAGGGAGGGGGGATGTTGCTTTGAATTGCTGTTGCTCTCCCATGGAAACCACAGTAGAAGATGACCCAAGGCAGCCATTTTCAATACCCTTGGTTCAACAGGAAGCCTGGGACTTGCTGGCACTTAAGTGTTGGGAAAGCCATGCAGAAAACACTGCTTTTCATTTGGTGGGGTGCATTCGTGTTCCTACACACAGTATGGAGGAAGGGCGGGGACTGTGTTCAAGCACAGAGACTGTTGCCTGTGTGAGTGTCTCTATGGCTCTCTGAGAGACAAGGGGACATGGGTCATTCTGGGTGAATGCAGGTTGGCAAAGGGTTAGTGAAGGCTCTGGCAACTTCTTGTTCTGAACCGTTCTTGGTCATCGTGACTTGGGGCCCATGTTGAGGTCTGAGGCAAGGGTCAGGAGAATGGTCTGTTTGGAAGGTCTCATGTCTGAGGCTTCCAGAAAAGGGCCTGTTATTGTGGGTCAGAGGGAGCTTTGGGTTGCAGTTGATACCATAAGGGAAGCTGCTTTAATTTTGAAGGAATTTATTTGCTTTTAAGCTGGGATTGAGCAAAATAAAAGGTATGAGGATATCAAATATTTTTAGCACCTCGTTGATGAATAATATCTTGTATGAATTTAAAAAAGCCAAATTTGCACAGGTTTTTACATGATGATCCCACCTTGTGTCTTTATCCTAGCAATACTATGAGGAGGCCGCTTTCTTATTCCCCTTTGAAAGATATGGAAACTGAGACACAGAGGGATTAAGTGACCCACCTAAGAGTTATACAGCTGCCTAAGGGCAATGTTAGAACGCAGGCTCCTGACTCAGCCTGTGCTCGGTGACTGGGCCCAATGGCCTCTCTGTACTGAGTGGGAGAAAGAGGACTCCATTTTGGCCTCTCACCTGCTGGATTCTGTCTTTGAAGTAGCCCTGGGCTTTGCTGGGGGAGAGTGCTTAGGATCCAACCCCCCTTGACCCTTGTTGTCTTTGTTAGAAGTGTTTGGGCCTGCAGCCACTCCTCAGCTGCGCTGGTCTGTGGGAGCCAGGGAAGTGGGATGTCCATCTGAAGGTCATAGACCAGGGAATCTATGGCACCAGGATCTTTTGTGGGCATTCCATGCCGACTCTATTGCCACTAGGAGGACTTTGACTAGAACAGAGGGCCTGTTGCTGCTAAGTGACCTTACCGTGAAGATGAGATGCAGAAGTTCTAGGCTGAGTTTTCTAGAAGGAGCAGCCCTGCTCTCTCAGTTGTCCCGCCACCTTCCATGCAGCACTGCCTGTTGACCAAACTCCCTAACCTTGGTTCAGCTACTCTGAAAAGCCTCATGGTCACCACTCCATAGCACATGCTCCCTACATCCCTTGTGAATCTGAAAGACATTTTTAATAGCTTCTTTTCATACTTGGGAACTGATCATCTGATGAAGAACACCCATGACCACATCCTTAGAGCACCCTCTAAGACCACAGGCACCACAGAGAACCCAGCTGAGTCCCTCATCACCTGCAAGAGAGCTCTCTGCCACACAGGGTGTAGCCCCAGTTCTTCCGAAAGGACTTGGAGGTCCCTGTTCATGGCTTACGGGGAGTCTGGGATGTATTTCCACCAAATGATGCGGAAGCACTAGGCACTTCCTGTGGCGGAGATTCTTAAGGAAGACGCAGATAAACAAAGGATACTCACTGAGGTGGAATGCAGCTGTACCATCGCCAAAGCACTTCAACACCTGCACTCTCAATAACCCTTTAACTGCTGCTGCATGGCATTTATATCAGCCTGAGGAGGAAATTCCAGCCCAGAGATGAGAAACGACTCACTTAAATTCTTACCCTGAATTATGTGAGAAAGTACATCTTGCCTTCAACAGTCCCTGAATACAGGGTTGCAGGCCAGATCTTGGATACTCAACCTCAGCTATGATCTTACAGCCACATAACATGCCCTGAAAGTAGCCAGAACGTTCTCAGGGTGATGAAGCCTTCTTAGGACACGTCCTGTATCCCCATCAGCACCCGCGGGACTGTGCGATAGGAGGCAAATCAAATACTCCTCAGTTGCCTCTGAATCTCTCCCCTTTAAAGCTCTCTCGTTAGTTCTCTCACGATTTCCTTCTCAGACCAAAACTAAGACCCTTGCCCACATCTCCTGGTCCATGAGGAAATGGGCATTTACTCATAGACTGAGGGTTTCCTCCAGAGTCCTGGGTAAATACCTCTGGCCATCTCTCAAGTCTCCAAGTTTTTCTAAATTTCACTAAACTGCCTTTCACTCCAGACTCACTGAATTCCGCTTATGCCTTTCCTCGTCCTCCCACCTCAGCCTCTAGGATCCTCTTCGCCTCTTTGTTTTTCTCAGATCACTAGGGCACTGGGTGCTTTTCAGTTCTTGTCTCTTTGTCACCTATGATCCTATCTGACTCTTGCCAGTGGGATGTCTATGCATCAGAGTAGCCATAGTTAATGTAGGAGCCCCTGAGCTGGATGAGCACTCACTGGCAATCAGAGTAACAACACTGCTATGAAAATCAACAGCCTTTACGTGCTGGGCAGTGGTGGTGCACGCCTTTAATCCCAGGATTCAGGAGGCAGAGGCAGGCGGATTCCTGAGTGGAAGCCAGCCTGGTCTACAGAGTAAGTTCCAGGACAGCCAGGGCTACACAGAGAAACCCTGTCTCAAAAAATCAAAAAACCAAACCAATCTAAATTGCACCAAATCAAAACTCCCCAAAACAAACAAACAAACAAACAAACAAACAAAAAAACCCACCATGTGACACCAGTTACTAGACAGGTTAGTTGCTTCCTCCCCTGCCTTGTTCGACTGTTTTGCGAACTTCTGTTAAACAACCTGACTCTCTGAAGCTATTGAAACACTCAGATATTTTGAGCCTTTAATTCATAAGACAGTATACCTCTGTAAGGTAGATTACCTATCCTTACCTGTGTCCTTGGCTAGAGAGCTTTCTGTGACTGTCTAAAAGACACAGCTCCCAAGTCGTTGGTCCCCTTTCCTACTGTCCATCAATTCCCTGCTCTTTGGTGATTTTAGCCACCGTGAACAACCTGAAACCAGAGGAGAGCAGGCATAACTTTGGAGCAACAGAAACAGATGCCACAAACCCAGGGCATTATACCATA